TATAGCCGGTCAGGCATCAACTGTAACGTTGATTCTTTTGTGATAATAATTTCAGGGTTTGATTTTTCAGGCTGCCGGGCAAAACTGATTGACTGAGGGCAGTATATGAGAACATGCTTAGCTATGTTCAAATAGAACATACTTAACTATGTTCGAATAAATGCAATGAACGTTGAGTTCATTGTATTTATTTGAACTCAACGCTGACGTATTATTTGCTCGAAAGCTAACCCAAAAATACTAACACTACTAAAAAAAACTTCATTAGCTAGCTGTGCATTTTAGACAGTTTTGTATTGCAAACCAATATTATTTATCGCATAATTTGGATTTGTTTTTTTTTGTTTTTTTTATTTTTTATTTTTTTATTTCGTCGTTTGACACATTTTACTATGTTAACCTTACATTCAAATAAATTTATACAATTACAAACTGACTGGGGCAAGTCTTATCATCAAGTCCCTTTGTGAAAATAGAAAAAAACAAAATAAAGTTTTAGAACTTCCAATAATATATAAAAAAGTGAAATTTAAAAAAGTTTAAAAAAACAAATTAAAAAGTTTGAAAAAGTTAAAAAGTTTTAAAAATGATATTTTAATTTGACAAAACTAAAAAGTTTGAAAATAGTAAAAAATAAAAAAATTTGAAAAAATAATTTACAAATCGGTACATATGCGTATACATATCCAATAAACTTCATAATATATATTTAAATATACAAAAGATATTTTGAATTTAAAAAGATTCCGAACATTTTATAGATTTAAATTCATCTATTCATTTTTTTTTTTAAACAAAATTAAAACAGACAAACAAAAAGAAACAAGAAGAATATATATATAAATATACAAGAAGGATGTATATATATATATATATATATATATATATATATATATATATATATATATATATATATATATATTTAATTTAAAAAAATGAAAGAATGTACGTATTGTTTAAAGTATGTGTTTTTTTATAACTCTTTTAAATATATCAATAGATTTTATTTTTTTCATATTTTCGTCAAGAACCGAGTTCCACAAGGGTGGTCCCCGACATGTAATTGAGAAGTCAGATTTTTTGAGTGATGTTTGTGGGGTGTAGTTATTATTTATTGAGTGTCTTGTTTTATATTTATGATTAATAAGAGAGAAGTTTTTATAAAAATATTTTGGAATTAATTCGTTTTGAAGTTTAAACATGAATAACATCGTCCAATATCCCTCTTACCAGTGTTCTCTAAAGTTTATGAAAAAGTAATATACAATCGAATTTATAATTACTTGAAGTTAAACAAACTTTTATATGAAAACCAATTTGGTTTTCAAAAAAAATGCTCAACAGAACATGCTATCATTGAACTTACTAATAAAATATTTCATTTTTTCGATAAAGGGGATCATGTATTGGGAGTTATATTTATAGACCTTACAAAGGCATTTGATACAGTTGACCACAACATCTTACTATCAAAATTAAAAAATTATGGTATCAAAGGACTAATGTATAAATGGGTAAAAAGCTATCTGAGTAACAGAAAGCAGTTTGTAATAAACAAAGACTCAAGTGTTCCTGATATTGTGGGGTTCCTCAAGGCTCAATCTTAGGACCGTTATTGTTTTTAATTTACATCAATGATATGCATAAAGCATCATCTATAGTATCTTCAATAATGTATGCTGATGACATAACTTTATTTTATAATCATAGTAATTTAAAATCGATGTTCGAAACAATGAATACTGAACTGGAAAACTTTAATTTATGGTTTAGAGCAAATAAACTATCCTTAAACTGTGAAAAAACCAACTACATCTTATTTCATAAAACAGGTCAATCAATGTCTCTACCGTTAAAAATTCCAGAATTGCTCATTAACAACGTAACAATAAAACGGGAAAAATATGCAAAGTTTCTTGGTGTTCATATTGATGAAAATTTATCATGGAGAAATCATATTGGACACATTGAAACAAAAATATCATCTGCAATAGGTATTTTATATAAATGTCGCCCGTTTCTTGATTTCTGTTCAAGAAAAAAACTTTACTTTAGTCTAATTCACAGTCATATTACATATGCTAATATAGTGTGGGCTAATACACACAAAACAAAATTAATCAAACTACAAGGCTTGCAAAACCATGCTTGTAAAGCAATTCATTATCTAGGTAGAATGGACAATCCTTCCAATGCGATGACAAATATGAAAGTCTTAAACTTGGAAAAACTTAATTTATATCAGATTCTTATTTTTATGTTCAAATATAAAAATAATATGCTACCAAATTCTTTTTTAGACATATTCTCGTCATCATTTTCTTAAAGTTATAAACTACGATCAAATAGCTTCCATAACTATTATATTAAAAAACTAAAACCCGGGGTTCTGAATTTTCAATTATGTCACTGGGTCCTAAAATATGGAAAAACTTGAAAAATCAAAAATTAAAAGACTTAAATGAAATATCGTCATTTAAACGGCAAGCAAAGCTGCATA